GTTCAATCATATCTTTCCCAAGTAGTTTTTGTTTACTTAGATAGATACTTCAAACCTTTATTTCTTATATGTCTCATTTTGTTATGCAATAATTCAAATTTGTTTTCAATTATAATTAAATATTTTTCATCTTGAGGAGTAACAGTCTCCCCCATAAGATAGTACAATCCATTTCTTTTATGTCCCTTGAGAATTATCAAAGATCCCTTCATCACTTTCAAAGTATTATTATCTGACTTGAAAGAATGTCTCCCATTTTCAAGAATTCCCAATGAGATGAGATTTCTTNTCAAAGTATTATTATCTGACTTGAAAGAATGTCTCCCATTTTCAAGAATTCCCAACGAGATGAGATTTTTTTTAAGATTTGGGACATATCTTACATTCTTTAATTGTTTGACAATACCATCATACATCCTAATGGTAATGTCACCCATATACACTTTCCTGTGTTTAACTTCTTTTTAATTATTAAACCATAACCTATTGGACATATATGGAATGTACATCCTGAATCCAAGATCCAGTCCTTATCAACTTCTTTCCCTTGATTTATGTCTCATACTATAAGCGTCAAACTCGATACTCACAAATCGGTATTGCTTAATTTTCTGATATTCTTTACAAAATTTACAAATTTATTTATAAAAATTCATCAGTATATAAAAGTAGGCAATATATTCGACCGTTGCAGTGACTTTTCTTTCTATATGGAGACGCTCCTACTCAAAATTTAAAAAAATAAATTGACCATTTTACCCTCGTATATTTTTTAGATAACTTGGGTTTGGTTGTAAATAGATACCATTCTTCAGGGTACAAAAGTGAATAACTTGAATTTGCGTGTGCTATTTAAATGAGTAATGCTACTTGCAGTCGCCCTATGTGGCACACACATGGCATGTAGTTATTTGATGCATTAATGTGGTAGTTTTTTACCACATTTAATGCATCAAATACACACTTGACATGTGTATGCAACATAGGGCGACTGCTGCAGTAAGTGACTGCAAGTAGCATTATTCTATTTAAACGCCATTTCTACGTGGATTTTGAGAAGGACAATGCTAGGGGTACATAAGGATCTACATAAGGGTCTATATAATGCATATGTGGCATGTGATCCCACCTTTAATTCAAATATGACACTTACACATCAACCAC